CCCACTTTGAACATCTGGAGCCAGTGCAGCTGCCGGACTGTTCGTTTTAGGTCTTGCAGCCTGCCACACGCGGCATTTTCAGGGGCATGTCTTTTTTCTTTTCCCCCTTGTCTCGGGTGTTTTTTTTTTTGTACAAGCCAACACTGGTAGTACCCTCACTCCTCACTTACCACACGCACAAAGGACGAAACGTTCTGTTTTTTCTTTTCTTCTTTTCTTTTGTTTTTGTGAAAAATCGCGATATTGTGTTCACTGGTCGTTCCTTCTCGTTTTCAAAACAAACGACCTCCGCAGCTCTGCCGAGGCTCTACCCAGCCTCTACCAACCCTGCCCAGGTCTTCCATGAATTCAGGAAGACCAAAAAGTTTGGCTGGGCAGGGTACTGGTGGTTTAATAAAAATGTCGGACTGGGAGGCAATTGATCAGTCCCATTGCTGGGAAGATAAAAAGCCCCTGGTCGAGACAACTGGCCTTGACCTTAAGCAGCAAAAGTTTGAAGAAATGATTGAGAATAAAGAAAGGAATTGGAGAAGGTTCAAAAAGAGAAAGAAGAGTATGAGAGGAGAACAGAAGAAGCTGTGCGCAAGCTGGGCCTAGCAGAGTCCTTTGCTAAGGCCCAGGTTGAGGACAGATTTACTAACGTCAATAGGAGGATGGCTGACTGGATCAATCTGGAGCTCTCCCATAATAAGGATATCTTTACATCCTAGGATGAGAGGATGACCATTAAAGAGTCCAAGTTATCCGTCGTGGAGGCCAGAACAACAGCCGTGGAAAGCGGATTAGACTCTATAGACGCCACCCTCAAGAAACTCTCAGCAGCTTTCTTTCAGCACTTCCCTAGCCCTTCCACCCCTTCCCTTCAACTGACTCCTTCTCCCCAACCTCCCCCCTCCATACCTAGGCGCTTCCAAGATCCACAGTCCACCTTCTCCTCAAGGGAAAGTGATGCCGGTTGTTAGGGGTGGACCCAATGGTGGACTGGGTCCTAGCTCAAGCCAGCAGGAACCCCGCTTGCCCAAGATGGCCCGGTCTGAGAAATTCAATTGGAAGACCTCAAAGTGGATGTCTAGAGACTGGATAGCCCAAATGAGGTCTTATCTCAAGGGCTTTACCTGTCCAGAGGTGTACAAGGTGCCCGCCACGGTGGCCCTTCTGGATAGGTCACCTCTACAATGGGCCACTTCTGAGGCCAACAAGGGACATCCACTATAGGATTAGATACAATCTTCCAGATCCTGCAGGAGAGGTTTGTCGATAAAGAAAGGGCCCCAAAGACAGCCGATGAACTTATAAAGATAGGCCAGAACAAATGGCATGGGTCCTTCTCTCAGTTGCACCCTTAATGAAGAATGGCTTACCTCTACTCCCAGGTTGGCTATGTCTGAAGAAGACTAAGCTCAAATGGTTCACCCGGGCTGCGCCAGAAGGGTGTTCACGGGCCCTGTATGTAGCCAACTATAAGGACTGGGGGTCCTTCGGCAAAGCAGCCCTCTACATGGAGGCTGCCCTCCAAGTCCAGACCGGTTCCCAAAGGGCAAACAACTCCTCTTCCCAAAGCCGGAGGAAGAGGAAAGGAAGGTTGTACACCCTGGAGTCTGAGGAAGACTTTGCCAGCTCCGACCAGGGAGGATCGACTTCCCCAACTGGTCAACATGCAGAAGCTTTCCCAGACGAGGCTGTTTTGACATTGGCCCAGCCACTGATGAGCCTCACAAGGGGCTCAAATCAGTTCCAGGGACAAAGGAGTTCCACTTCTAGGGGTCCAGGCAAGACCCCCCAATCATCCACAAAAGCAGAACTTGCCCAAGTTTGCCAAATATCCACTACTGGCAGGAGCCAACTTGTGGAATATTAAGCATCCAATACTACTACTACTACTACTACTACTGGCAGGAACCAACTTGCGGAATATTAACCCTCCAATATACTGCATACTGAATGTATCCGTAAATTTGTCCTTCATTCCAAATAAAACAGTATCAGGCCAGTAATTAACAGGTGCAGGCAAACTGTTAGTCAACACTTTGGTTTGGCACAAAACTATTTAGGGCTACTAACCTTTTCAGAAATGGACAAATAGGAAGGAAAAGACTCCAAAAAAAACATCTTTATCTACAAGCAAACATACTAACATAGTTATCAACGGGGAGTAGTCCATACTATTGCATACTCTAACTTCTCCTTTTCTCCTCATTTCCCCCTGAACTTAGTCAATGCAATTCATTCTGCACTCTCATTCGGCATGAAAACGGTATGGAATGTAGCCCACATGCATCATAGTTTAGGCCTGCCCAGCGTTCCCCAGGTGCTGTGTGTAGC